GGGCATTGCCCGTCCATGCCTGACCCTGCCGCCGCCTATGGAGTAATGTATTATTATTATTATTATTATTATTATTATTATTATGTATAGTCAGTTTTTGGTTCTTCTCAACATTCTTTGATGGATTCTAAAAGAACTTTGACGTTTCTAATGAAGTGTTTAACTAATTTAATCAATGAGGATCCACCATATTGTTTACAAGTAAGACAAGACAACAAAAACAATAACAACAACAATAATAATAGCAATAATAATAATTCTATTTAGGCTCATATTACTTTTCCTCCAAGAAAACTAGCAAAGTGTAGTCAGTTAGTAACTGGTTATATTGTAAAGGCTAAATCAAGACTGGACTATTTACAAGTACTTACATTATTGTCATGTAACAAAGAATAATTGAATTGTTCTATTGTCCATGTACATGCTATTTATGCTCAGTACAAAGTTTGAGCTGATTCTAGATTTTTTATGAATTGTTAAAATTGCTTCAAAATTGGGTCAAAGTCTCTGTACTATAGTACAGGGATGTTGACCAAATTTCACCAAATTTGTAAAGGAGAGAAATCTGGGTTTTTATAATTTTATCTGATACATATACTGTACTTATGCTGTGTAGAAATTTTGAGGTGATTTCAATCAAATATAAATTTTTTATGAATTTTTAAAGTTGCTTCAAAATCGGATCAAAGTCCCTGTACTATAGTACAGGGATGTTGGCCAAATTTCACCAAAATTGAAAAGGAGATATATCTGAGTTTTTATAATTTTATCTGATATAAATACATGTACTTATGCTGTGTAGAAAGTTTGAGGTGATTCCGATCAAATTTGAATTTTTTAATGAGTTTTTAAAGTTGCTCCAAAATCGGATCAAAGTTCCTGTACTATAGTACATGGATGTTTGCCAAATTTCACCAAAATTTTGAAGGAGAGAATTTTGGGTTTTTATAATTTTATCTGATACATATACATGTATTTATGCTGTGTAGAAAGTTTGAGGTGATTCCGATTGAATTTGGATTTTTAATGAATTTTAAAAGTTGCTCCAAAATCGGATCAAAGTTCCTGTACTATAGTACAGGTTCTCAGGCCAAATTTTGCCAAAATTAAAAAGCTGAGAACTCTGGGTTTTATAATTTTATTTGATGCATATATGTGTACTTATGTTGCGTAGAAAATTGATGAATTTATTTTAATAGTTATTTAATGTTTATAGGTTGATTATGATTACATTGATACTAGTAGCACTGAAGATAATATTGAAATCAATCATGAGGTAACTACACTTTACATGTAATCTTTTAAACTCCATTCTCTGCCTCTTTCTCTCTCTCTCTTTAGTTCTCAATGGCTGAAGTTGAATTAAATGACATAATGTCTTCATTTGAGGCTAACAATTGTCAGACTATTCCTAATAAACTGTTGGAGTATCAAATGTTCAATCAGCCTTACTATACTGAAAGGATACTGAGATTATTATTAGCTCCTAGACAAGTGAGAAAAGAAGAGGAGACAAAGAGAGATTTTTACTATTAATATTGCTGAAATATTGTTAACTTTATTTTTTGTTGTTTTTGTTTTTAGGAGAACCAGTTTATGTTTGCTAAATATGCCGAAAGAGAATGTAAAAAGTTAAACAACAATGGTGAAGTAGAAGCATAATAAGTCCCTGGAGAGAGATGTGGTTAATTCTCGCAAGCACTTTGTTCATTTACAAGAACAACTCAAACACATTGTCATGGAGAGAGATGTACTAGCAAACAAAAGAGACAAAATGTTCGCCATAATTCGACATCTCGAGTCCCAGCTATCCATCCTCCGACAGGGCGGGGGCGGGCGTGAAAAGACCACATCCTCAGGCCGACTCCTCTCGCCTAATTTACACGCAACGACTGCTCAGCCTAGACTGGAGAACAGGCGACTCACTGATCCTTATTTTAAGGATTTAAATCCGAAGCATCCTCCACAGCATAGACCCTCAGATCCTAGTCTTAGATACCTCTCTCACCACACAGCTGGAGCAACACGTCCTAATAATCTACCACTTGGTATTACTCCAGGTGGTAGTCATTATCCTCCTTCAATATCCTATCAAGACACTCCTCTACCTCTTGACGTGAGAGTACCGCCCACATCAAGAATGTTCTGTCAGTCGCCTGGTTCTGATTCGTCAGCTGATGGTCTGACACCAAATTATTTTAAAGTGAGTGGACAATAAATAAAACTTCTATATGTACATGTACATGTAATAAGGATAAGGACATCAGGGTTTCCCACAAAGCATGCTAAGTGAACTAACAAGTATTATGCTTCATAAGCTGAAAAGTCTTATAATAGTATTTGGCTTTTGGAAATTGGTGTGACTTTTAAAATTTGTAAAAAAATCCAGTTTTGATCGGAATCAACTCAAACTTTCTACGCAACATAAGTACATGTATGTGTATCAGAAAAAATTATAAAAATGGAGAATTTTCTCCTAGTCATTTTTGGCGAAATTTGGCTCGAGACCCTATACTATAGTACAGGGACTTTAACCCCATTTTTGGCCAATTTTAAAAATTCGTAAAAAATCTAATTTTGATCAGAATTAGCTCAAATTTTAAACACAACATAAGAACATGTATTTGCATTAGAAAAAGTCATAAAATAGAAAATTCTCTCCTAAAAATTTTTAACAAAATACCCTGTACCAGTACAAAGTACGGGAACTTTGGCCATATCTTGGAGCACCTTGAAAAATCCACTGACAAGATGCTACATGTACATTCATAAAGGCAGTGATAGACATTATTGTTCTTTTATTTTAAAGGTATCTGCTAGTGCTGATGATCTAACTTCTGGTGGTGAGGATCGTAACTCTATCCATTCCTTTGGGT